AAGTGAAAGGGTTACCTTTGCTGGGAAGTTCTAGCATGTCTCAGTTTTCCAGCATATCTTTAAATGGTAAAAAGGAAGAGTCTCCTCTTCTTGGACCTCCTAGTTTTTCACCATTGTGAAGAATGACATTGAAATCTCCTAACATACACCAGGGCTCCTTCCTATGCATTCCAATCCTTGAGATTCTTTCCCAAACTAGCGGTCTAGAACTAAAAGCTAGGTCTCCATAAACACAAGAGACAATGAAGTCAACAGAACCAAATTGAATGTGGAAATCAATTAGGTTCTTATCCGCATACTTAATATCTATATTTACACATTTCTTCCACGAAAGAGCCAACCCTCCACTGAGATCAACCGGGTTAATTGTGAAGACTCTTTCATATTCTAACCATTCTTGCAGGTCTACTACCACATTACTATAGTTCTTGGTTACCATCAAAAACAAAACCTTAGGAAAATGAGCACGTCTCATCTCCATGAGAGTAGGAATCGTCAATTTATGAGACCGTCCCAAGCCTTGACAATTCCAACAAATAAGACTCATTAAACATTGGACGGTCCCTCATTTAGGACCACCACTTTAGGGTTAAGCTTGATGATTTTTGCAGTGCTTTGACCCTTGTCAACTGCCTTTCTCTTCTCCTTTGTACCAGTTTCTGATCCTTCCACTAGCCTTTGATCCAGAGAACTGCTGAACAAATCTCTTGGCTTAGGCTTTCTTACATTCTTAGGTAGGCCATCTCTATATATATAAATGTCAAAGAGAAAAATAATGAACAAACATGGAGAATAATAGAATACATATTTAAACTAACACAAGAGAATAAATAATAAAAGAACCAAGAAGGAATGTGTTCTATAATATTCTCATGTTCTGCAATTAGTAAAAAGAAAAGAGTCAATTAGCTGTATGCTAATTATTTGAGAAATAATTAGCTTGTACATACACAACTTTTATTCTTTGCAAAACAAGAGAGAGAAATCTTTGGTTTCGAAAAAATCGGACGAATTTACCCCTGGAATAAATAGCAGGAATTTTGCCTCCAAAAATGTCTTACCATATGTTTCCTGGTAAAACACATGTGTTTCCCGATATATCACTATATATCATGATATAAAATCAAAAAGATAATGGTTAGAAAAACCAGAAACTAATGTTGGATCATAAAAAAACCAATCAATCTCTATGACGACTCTGCAAAGAATCCTCCAAATCAAGATCAACACCAACACGATTCCGAATCGATGCATTTGCGTGGCACGAAGAAGAAGAGCAAGATTAGCCTATTTCCCAAGCCAATTTAGCACTTTGACTCCATCCTCAACGCCATTGATTAGCCGCCAAATCAGAAGTTCCACTAACCCAACCTCCACTGTGAAACTGCAACATCACTGGTAGGGCCATAACTATGTCTCCGATCATATCTGGGTTGGTGGTGGTGATAATTATCCTTGTGGCGTAACAAATCGAGTTCAGGTGGAACTGCTTGAAAGCCTCCGCCCTCCGGCTCCGTCTTTGAACAGAGAAGAGAGTTTCATCTTCTTCGTATCGGCGTGGACAGTGGATAGTGTGGTGGTAAAGCTGGAGGAGATCGTGGCAATGGCAAAGATGGATGCGTGGGAAGATGAAGATTGAAGGGGTAATTATGTCATTTTGTCACCAAACCCAAACACCAGTTATTTACGAAATCGCCACTTCTTCTTTGACTTAATTATTTCTCAGTCTTAGGGTATGCAGTGTAATTACTCAAAAGAAAACTTATAATATAGCTCCACATGCCCCTATTGTTCTCTGTGTTGGCTCTTGCATTCAATGGCCAATAAAGTACTATTTGCAAGAATCAGATCCTTCTTTCAATCCACATATATATGACCTCTGCATTAGCTTCGCCGAAATTGTGCAATGAAAGTCATAAATAATTAAATACTAGTTGTTGTTAGAGTATTTGAAAATACATGTATAAAAGAATAACTTAATAAAGCATTTAAAAAATGAGAATTGAGTTATTAGTAAACTTAATATATAAAATTATCTACTCTATAATTTAGTAAATTAGTATGATGAAATCATTATTGTAAAATATATTATTATATAAGTTCAAACATACATAAATGAAATAAAAAGGGTCTTTTCCAAATTACCTTGAGATTTTTGTTTCTTCTTCTTAATCAAATCAAAACAAATTTTAATAAATAGATCTTTCTAAATAGACTTGGGTAATATTTATAACAATTAAAATGTAGTAAGTAATATATAATTATGTATTCAACTACAAATAAATTTTTGCAAAAGAGATTGTTATAGCAAGAGTAAAAATAATTATATACAAATTTCATGTGCAACTATGTGATAATCTATTTTATGAAAATTAATAAGCACATATAATCTTCAAGAGGACGCACTAATTTTTGTTTTCAAAGGGATTTTTTTACCATATTAGCATAACAGATAAACAACACTCACAAAGCGGTTGAAAGAGCAATCATATACCTGACATATACAAAGACCTAGCTTGGTTTGCTCTTCAGTACTCGAATCAGTTACCTTTATGCTCGCTGGCTGTTTTCGACCATACAACGTTTCCCCATAACGAAAAAAATCCAACATGCACATGAATGTTATAAAAAATAATAAGTTACATTTTTTTTTTTTTTACATTTTTGTATCAACAAGACCCGATCCATAGCCATTCCCAATTACGCAGGGTAACATGACTTAGTGGAGTCGAACTCCGGTGTTAAAAATGGAATCAAATGGACTTAACCACTTGACTAAAGGCACATACCCAATTGGTTGCAATTTTGAAGTCTTTAATTTCAAAACTAAGTGAATATGACATCTGACCTAATATAGTACATAATTAAAGTTGGTTATATATTTATATGAATGAGCAAGATAACAAAACTTACAAAATGTCTTATTTCATCATATCAACAACAACTAAAAAATTCTTATTTTTCTTTTCAACTCAGAATATTTCTTGATTAAGAGATCATATAAAAATATAAATTGCTTTTATTTTTGGGATATTAATTTAAAAATGAGAGAATAACAATTTACCTAATATTATCTTACATAACTAAAATTATTTATACATGTTCCCATTCAATGACCAAAAACAAAACTCCTAAAATGTTTCTCTTGGACCATTTAAAAGAAAAAGAAAAAAAAATCAATCTTTCATTACTACTACTACTACTATACAAGGGATTTACTGGTTCTAGTCTTGTCTTCTTGGATCCGGCAATCCTGGTTCATCGCCTGTTTACCAAAGACTAGCTCCGGATCTAGAAATTAAATGCACCAAAGAGCTTAGAATATTTTGTAAACGAATTTTTTGTTTCTTAAAAAGCAAAAAAAACACACACACATAGGGTGTGACTGGTGGCTACAATTAGAAGAAAAGAATTGAGAAGAAATATAAATACTCTCATTTATTCTGTCATTTCACCAGTCAAGAAGAATTTAATCTCCAACAGAATTTAACATTTTCTTCTCAATTCTTCTACCTTTTAGTTAAAACAACTAAAAAATTTCCACCCATAAATACATGGTAGAAACATTTCTTCTAACATTTTACTTTTCTTTTCTCTTGTATTCTTCTCTATTATTTTCTTCCTTTTTCTTCTATTTCCTTCCAGTCACTTCCATAGAATTGATTTAGTAATGTGACGTTGGAAAAGATGCCTAGAGGCTGGAGTGTCAACTTCTGTCTGAAAGTGTATCCCCTTTGGTTCAAATAACAACAAGAACAACGTGTGAAGATACTTTGTCTTTTTATTTGGATGATGGAGAATTCACTAGAGGTTAAGCCTGATCATTCTATATGTCTCTATCCATACATTTTAACAAGGCATTAAAAGAATTTGATCTCTATCAAACGAACTTACCCTCTACTAGGTTTAGTCGTCGCCAGACAAGACAGATCATGTTTCCAAAATATATGCAATCGCAAATACAGTAAAACCTCTATAAATTAATACTCGAATTTCTATAAATTAATAAATTCTTTCGGTCCCGAATTAGAACCAGTGTAAAAAAAATTACACAAATCGATAAATTAATAAGATAATATTTTTTAAAAAAATCCTTTGTAAACATATGGTCCCATCAATATCATAAATTAATAATTATATAAATTTATCAGTATATATATATTTATAGGTAAAATATTTAGTGAAATATGACTCTAGTTTTGTTTGTTTTTCTTAAATTTGTATTAATTTTTGGTAGAGTTCAATTCTAATATTTTTACTACATCGAAATTTTTTGTGTTGTTTTCTAAACTTAATAATTGATTTTCTGCTTTTTTTAACTAAACAATAATTGCTCTTCTACTTGTAATTGATTTTAGAAAGATATTGATTATTAAGAAAAAACTACTCCCTTTTTTTCACAATATTAGATGTTTTAGATAAAAGCACTAAGTTTAAGAAAGTAACTAATTTTGAGTTTTTTTATATTAAAAATACAAATTAATACTCCCTCTGTCCCAAATTATATGATGTTTTAGCATTTTTTTCCTTGTTCCATTTTATAAGATTTTCCCAGATTTCTATGCATAATTTATGTTTATTTAGTATATTGTGACCATTTAAATTCTGCAGCTTTTTTTTCTATTGGCTGAATTCCTATAAAAAAGTAAACATTAATTATTTCTTAATCTTTGTGCTTTTACACAAAACATCTTATAAAATGGGACAGAGGGAGTATTATTAAAAATAATTTAACCAATGATATAATTTACTGCAGAATATAAATAGTCAAAAAGCTGTTTAATTTAATGTTTTGCATAGAAACTTGAATTGTTTATTCAAAACATCATATATTGTGAAACAAAAAAAGAAGTCTAAATCATCCTATAAATGAAACAGAGGGAGTACTTTTTACATAGATTTTTTTTTAAAAAATTACAAAATTAGCAAAATCTCTCTATAAATTAATAATTATTAATTTATCGATAATTTAAATCTTTATAAATTAATAGAATATCTCGGTCCCTACATTATTAATTTATAGAGGTTTTACTGTATAATAAATCTCTGGTTGTTAGACAAAAATAGTTGTATAAGATTCTCAGGCTATCACAAGAATATATAACCTTTGGTTTTGTCGCGGGCATGCTGCAACTTTTTCATGTGTGATATGAACTTCTACACGATATGACGAACCGAAAGACATGAGACTCTAAAAAGAATCATAAAAAATGTCGTTGATGTGCAGCAATTTTGAGTTTTTGCATATGGATAACGAAAGGAAGAGTATCTATGACCAGACCACCAGATCTATTCACTATAAATATGGTGTGCTGTTTTTTTTTACTAAGGCATAAACGATTTCTTGACGAAACAAAAGTGTTTCACATGCAGACAACATCAGCACATGAAAGATTGAAAGCTTAATAATGCAGAAATATATGATCAGATGCCATGTGAGATATATATACATCTAAAAAATATATAAGATATTTTAGTCTTTTGAAGATTTAGAGGATCTTCCCACTTGGATCGGTTGTGATATAGGCGGTTTTGAGTTCTGAAATGGTGGAGAGCATAATTATTGGTCATGTATAATGCAAAAGCCGCAAAGTCTCTTCCTTTTCATTTCCACTTTTTTGTTTTATGTAAATGTAAATCATATTCATATGTGTGAAAGAAACAAGTTCAAGAAGTTACCAAGTCGAATAGTTGAAGCGTGTAGGCATCTAATACTTAATGCTTTGAGCACCTTTTTCAGATCTTGCTAACGACCGTGTCACTCTTATAATCTACAATCACATCAAACGGTTAAATGCTTCGGAGAGAACCTAACAACAGCAGCGGATGAATTTTCAAATAGAAACAACTTTGTGTAAAGCGACAGTTCAAAAATATTAGAATCCACAGGAGGCAAAGACTTCAAGAGGGTGCATTATTTAAAAGAGTTTTGAAAGAGGGTGCCTTGAATGTTTTGTAGATTTTGAAAGAGTTTTTGGTTTTTGGTTTTCAAAAACTCATATTCATACCAATCAAGATTTTAAATTTTCGGTTTCCCTTAAATTTAGAAAACATTTTTTTTGTTGTAAATCTAGTTTTTACTCCATTTAGGTTTTTTCTTTGGTCAACAACATTATATTAAAAGATTGGTTAGTTGAAATGAGCCAATCCGACGGAATACATTTCATATTGTGGTTATATACGAATGGAACACACAAATTTATACGTTTTTGTATTAGCTCGTTTAAATATAAAAGAAATTGAAAAAACTGAAAAACTTCCTTTTAATTCGGTCAAAAACTGAAAAAACTCCATACTTTATTTTCTCAAAAACTAAAACTTCTTTTTTGGGAGTTTTAAAACCAAAAAAACTAACAACAAAGTCTAAAAGTCTAAAACAAAAATGTACTATTCAAAAACTAAAAACCAATTCCAAAACTGACTTCAAAAACAGCATCCATTCATGGCCTTAATCTATTTGGAATTAGAGGTAAAGATTCTGATAATTGGAACAAAGGAAGAGATAGGTATAAATATTTGGTAAAGGAGTTAGCTTTAGAATAAATAAACCAAAAGAGGAGGTGAGAGAGAAAGTGGGAACCCACCATAGACGATTGATCGGCCAACATCGTAAAGAAAGCCTTTCTTTTTCTGCCTCTCTCTTCCTTTTTCTCTTCTTACAACACAGAGGAGTAATTCTAAAGTGTGTGAGGGTGTTTTCCATACTACTATATATTCATGTGCTCACATGGTTTCCCTTTGAGGGAGATCAAGAAGAAAGTTACCAAAGCCACTTTCTTTTAAATTTTCTTACCATTATATAAGAGCTTTCCATTAAACGGTTACAACTACAAGAACGAGGACAAGTACAGAAACTGGTTCAGGAGTTATCATGCCTCAGAACTGCATAGCACCAAGGCCTGAAGAAGATGGTGGAGTCATGGTTCAAGGTTTGCCAGACATGTCAGAAACGCAGAGCAAGTCTGTACAACCTGGTCTCCAGATGTCCATGTATCCCATAACTCTCAAGGTGTGTGTCTCTTTCTCTCTCTCTATTCAACAAAAGAAAAGCAATCTTGTTCACTTCTTGTTAGAGCTTTTGAGTTTTACCTGCAACAAATCTCAGCAGAAGTATTTCTTTCTCTACTTCCTCTAGCTTGGTAGTTGATAACAAGACAGGACATCATTCTAACGATGTTGGTTTCTTTGTGGTTGTACAGTTTGAGGAGGTTGTGTACAAGGTTAAAATAGAGCAGACAAGTCAGTGTATGGGATCATGGAAAAGCAAAGAGAAGACGATTCTTAATGGGATAACAGGAATGGTTTGTCCAGGAGAGTTTCTAGCCATGTTAGGTCCATCAGGAAGTGGCAAAACCACTCTTCTATCAGCTCTCGGAGGCCGACTCTCAAAAACTTTCTCAGGTAAAGTCATGTACAACGGTCAGCCTTTCTCTGGCTGCATCAAACGCAGAACAGGGTTTGTTGCTCAGGATGATGTTCTGTATCCTCACCTCACGGTTTGGGAGACTCTCTTCTTTACCGCACTTCTACGGCTACCAAGCAGCTTGACCAGAGACGAGAAAGCTGAGCATGTGGACAGAGTTATCGCTGAACTCGGATTGACTCGGTGTACTAACAGCATGATAGGAGGACCACTGTTCAGAGGAATATCAGGAGGTGAGAAAAAAAGGGTTAGCATTGGTCAAGAAATGCTGATCAATCCTAGCTTGCTCCTTCTTGATGAACCCACTTCAGGTCTTGATTCAACCACTGCTCATCGCATTGTGACCACAATCAAACGGTTGGCTTCTGGAGGAAGAACAGTTGTCACCACTATTCATCAACCATCAAGCCGCATATACCATATGTTTGACAAGGTGGTTTTGCTGTCTGAAGGAAGTCCCATCTACTATGGCCCTGCAACTTCTGCTGTGGAATATTTCAGTTCTCTTGGATTCTCCACTTCCATGACTGTTAACCCAGCTGACCTTTTACTTGACCTTGCAAACGGTAAGCGACCTTTCTCTTTAAGCTTCTTAGATGATTAAAATTTAAGGAAAAAAAAAAGAGAAACCCTTTTTAATTCATCAAAACTTGGCAAACCTCAGGAGTCCCACCTGATTCTCAGAAGGAGACCTCGGAACAAGAACAGAAGACAGTAAAAGAAACACTGGTTTCAGCTTATGAGAAGAACATTTCTACTAAACTGAAAGCTGAACTCTGCAATGCGGAATCCCATAGCTATGAGTACACAAAAGCTGCGGGTAATTTTTCGATTTTTGAAGTAGTCTTGTTTTATTCTGCTTCTGCTTCTCTACATCACTAATAATCTGTTCTTTAAATGGAGCAGCAAAAAACCTCAAGTCAGAACAATGGTGCACAACTTGGTGGTACCAGTTCACTGTATTGCTCCAAAGAGGAGTCAGAGAGAGGAGATTCGAATCTTTCAACAAGCTCAGGATTTTCCAAGTTATTAGTGTGGCTTTTCTTGGTGGCCTTTTATGGTGGCATACTCCAAAATCTCACATCCAAGATAGAGTAAGGCTCTTCTTCTTGATGCTATATAACACACATTTTTTCAATCTACACATTAGTATTCTAACCATCATTCTACATTTATTCTGAATGCAGACTGCTTTGCTCTTCTTCTTCTCAGTCTTTTGGGGCTTCTACCCGCTATACAACGCGGTTTTCACATTTCCTCAAGAGAAAAGAATGCTAATCAAAGAACGGTCTTCCGGAATGTACCGTCTTTCCTCCTATTTCATGGCTAGAAACGTTGGGGACCTGCCTTTGGAACTTGCCCTTCCAACTGCTTTTGTGTTCATAATTTACTGGATGGGTGGACTTAAACCTGACCCCACAACGTTTATCCTCTCATTACTGGTTGTTCTGTATTCCGTCCTTGTTGCTCAAGGTCTTGGCTTAGCCTTCGGTGCTCTGCTTATGAACATCAAGCAAGCCACAACGTTAGCATCTGTTACTACACTCGTGTTTCTCATAGCCGGAGGATACTACGTTCAACAAATTCCTCCCTTCATCGTATGGCTCAAGTACCTAAGCTACAGCTACTACTGCTACAAGCTGCTTTTGGGTATTCAATACACTGATGACGACTACTATGAGTGTTCAAAAGGAGTCTGGTGCAGAGTTGGAGACTTCCCAGCCATCAAGTCAATGGGATTGAACAATCTCTGGATAGACGTGTTTGTTATGGGAGTGATGTTGGTGGGTTATCGGCTCATGGCTTATTTTGCACTACATCGTGTGAAGTTGCGGTAAACGTGCAGCCGAAGGTAACAACAACTAAGTAACTCCAAGAAGCTCCAAACAAAAATTTTCCACACTGCAACCAAGGAATAATATTAGTATTAGAAAAGATAAAAGTCGTCGAATTTTGGTCGATTTTACTTACGTATCCGAGATATATATCCGACGACTTTCATTTTATTTTAGGCTTAGATGATAATACTTGCTAAGTTTGAGAATAAAACAGTGAGATAATGTATGAGATAAGAAGGGAAACCAAGTATATACTAATTCCCATTTGCAAAATAGTGTGACTAAACTTTCGGTCCACTTTACCGTGGAGATGATTGTTGTATCTTTTGTGGGGTTCCTTAAAAAGAAAAGGACTACTCTATCTCTTCACATTACTAGTCACCTTGCAAGTGCATATCAACTGGTGAAAATCAATGAAATGTATGTATCAGATAAGAATTAAACAGCTTGCGGATAATAAGACTAACAACGACAGGACATAAGCAAACACACCTGACCATGACTCTCATTATCATCTCTAGTTCTTTACTGGTACTTAGATGTTTCTTTACCCACACATTTAAACTTTTTTAAACTGCAAGAACTATGTCAACAATAGCTACAGGAACGTGCTTTCCCTTTCATGAATATACGAACACGAATAATTGAAACTTTAAATGGCTGTTATACTTCACATCGTTACTAGCTACACAATAATTACAACCAAAAAGAACAAGTGGGGAAGCTACAGTGTCTGCAAAACAACATATCATTGGATGACAAAGGCCCACAAGATATTCTTACACATCAAAACGTGATTCACTTTAAGTCAAGTGGAAACTGATGTAAGAGAAATCCATGTCACTCTCTACTTTGTCAAGTGTCACTATCATCACCTAGAAGAACCATCTTAAACACACACCCCAAGTAAAAAATCGAAACGTCATTCACTAACTTGTGTTGCTTTCTCAGACCTAAATACATCATCCTTTGTAGTGAGTGATATACGTACGAAAGCAAGAGATCATCATATGATCTAATCATGCTCTTTCCTCTTTATACTATATATAATAAGTACACTTGTTGCTGTTTTTAGTGTACTAAATGACCCATAAGAGCCTCTTTACCTTATCAAGATAACATAAACTATTGCCACTCAGAGATAAGAACCAAAAATCTCTAGTAGACAACTAAACAATCGATTTCTTCTCTACTCTAACAAAAATACATTAAAGAGCCACTGATATTGATTAGGGTTTCCACTCACCACGTCGTTTTCCGTTAAGAAAATGTCTCATCCAAGTTGACGGTGACGCAGCGGAGAAGAGGACTCTCTACGGCGATGTAGCGACGGAGCATCCACCATGTACGGTACCGTTTCGTCACCTAAGACTAAAAAATTCATCTTAAATTGCACATTAACCCTTACATTTCGATAAAAACATCCTAAATATTTCACTTTTTTGCTGAAGCCCAAATAGGCCCATCTAAAAGGCCCAAAACTGAGTTTTAGCTATCTTCTTAAAAAATTCATCTTAAATTGCACATTAGCCCTTATATTTCCCTTTATTTTCGATAAAACATCTTAAATATTCCATATTTTGCTGAAGCCCAAATAGGCCCATATTCTATGAAAGGCCCAAAATGGGTTAGCTACCTTCTTAAAGAGTCTTGTCTCTCTCGCCGAGTGTTTCTCAATTTGTCTGTTTTTAGGGTTTTAGCTTTGTCTTTAGTCGTTGTTTGTTTCTCTTATCGGAAAAAAAAAATGGCGGCAATTTCTAGGGTTTTTGGAGGGTTCAGGACACTGATGTCGAAGGCGGCGAGTGTTGAGGCTGTTACCGTAGCTGGAGAAGGAAAAGGGATATTCAAGACTCTTCCGGTGTCACAGCAGCTGGCTAGCTTCGCCGGAGAAAGCGAACTCACTCGTGGTTCCGCCTTGAAGAAAGTTTGGGAGTATGTGAAGCTTCACAATCTCCAGGTTTGTTTGATTTTGGAGATTTCTAGGGTTTCTTACTTTTCGTAGATCTGTTTATGAACTTAGGGATTTGGTTGCTTACTTGCTTTAGAGAAGGAATTGTTGCATGCAATTGTAAACAAAATCAATTTAAGCATTTTTGTGGAGTTTCTATGGCTGATGATTTGATTGTGGTCACTTAAAAGGCATTGGGCTTTGAGTGTTGTAGTTCTCTATTTTCATGGAGCTTTGAGTTCTTTTGGTTTTGAGTCTTGGAGTTTTTTTTTTCTATTTTCATGGAGCTTAAGTTCTTTTGACTGGTAGGAGAACAATGTATTGAGGTTTAAGTCATTGAAATGTTGTCTAGTCATTGAAATGTTGTCTTCTGCTGTGTCTGATTTCACTGGATTTTGTTAGTAGAATTGGTCTGTTTAATGCAAAAAACAGGCAGCTTTTAACCAGAAACTTCACTGTTTTTATGGATTATTCATAGTTTCTGTTTGAGATTGTGATTCATTTCTTGCCTCATTGTAGAATCCGGCGAACAAGAAGGAGATTCACTGCGATGATAAGTTGAAGACGATTTTCGATGGCAAAGACAAAGTTGGAATCACAGAGATCATGAAGCTCCTGTCACCACATTTTCCTAAATCCGTCTGATTTGGTTTGGTTTTATCTAACGTAGTAGTATCCAATCTAAGAAGAAATGGTTTGGCTTTTGTGGTTCATTTCGGGATGTATATGAAAAACTCTAGACCCGATTGAACTTTGGTATGTTAACAAACCAAAACAAAAAAAAACTCTCTTTTGATCCATCTACTGGAGAATATTATTATGTAGTTTGACAATTTTATCTTAATATCGTTAGATTTTGTGACTCATCTCTCTAATCTTGGTTTTGATCACGGTATCTTTGAGACTTCCTTGCTCTAATGTATCGTGTGAGCAACGATTTCGTTATTATTGTTTATTGCAAATGAATGGTGACAATTTTTTATTATTTGATGGAGAAGAAACGTGTCATTATCAGAAGAGGAATAAGAATGCGTTGTTAAAACGAGCAAGCATCAACGCGTCCATTTCGCTTTAAATCAATAGCTAAGAGCCTTTTTCGCTACACATAACCAATATTAATCATAACATAGTATATAGTTCATTATACCATATCTTGTATCTCTCTCTCTATTCATATCATCTTATCTATCTCTCAAGTTCTTGATTTTAATTAAAGATGGGTAAAGACGAGCACCACGAACAAGACAAAGGATTCTTCTCACATCATAATCATCACGGCCATGGGTATCCGCCAGGAGCTTATCCTCCTCCACCGGGAGCTTATCCTCCGCCAGGAGGTTACCCTCCGCAAGGTTATCCTCCGCCACCTCACGGCTACCCACCCGCCGCTTATCCACCTCCTCCCGGTGCTTATCCTCCCGCCGGGTATCCTGGACCCTCTGGTCCTCGTCCAGGTTTTTATTTAATCAGAATGTTTTTGTGGTTATATCTCTTAGTCTTAGTTAAACGCCCTTGCTATTAACAAACTAGTCCGATCGGTGTATGTTTTGGGTGGAGATTTATATATTATATAGTTCTCAAAATATTATGAGAAGACAAAATATTTTTTTGAAGGGATGCATATAGCTAATCTTAGTTTATTTAAATCCAAATGTGTTCTTTAACCAAATCTTGCGTTATGCGATGTGAAATTCCGAAAAGTAAAGCTTGGTTATACCGAACATTATAATAAATATAGATTTATGCTTTAATTTTCTCTTAAGTTTTCCAAGCTCGAACAAAAATTCAAGTAAAATTTCGTGCTGGTTATATCAACCAAAAATTAACCTAAGTAAAAATAATGTTTTTATTCTTTTTTATGGTAAAATGAATGTGGCTTTTGTTCAGTTAAAAATGATCTATTATTTTTGGGGTTCAATTCAGTTAGAAACATAAATGAATGTGGCTTTTGTTCACTGTTTTTTTTGTGAACATGGCTTTGGTTCAATTATGATTTGCAAATAATTTTGGTCTAGTTTTAGCCCATTTTGGTTTGATGGGTTCACGTACCACTTAACCATTATTGAATGCTTAATCATGTGATATAGGGCTTGGAGGAGGAGTTGGGGGTTTGATAGCAGGGGCGGCAACAGCGGCAGCGGCTGCAATGGGAGGTCACCATGCGGGTCATCACGGAGGCTACGGGCACCACGGCCACGGAAAATACAAAAGAGGATTTTTCGGAGGAGGAAAGTACAAGCGAGGAAAGCATAGTATGTTTGGAGGAGGAAAGTATAAGCGTGGCAAGCACGGCATGTTCGGAGGCAAACGAGGCAAGCATGGCATGTTCGGAGGGAAACGAGGCAAGGGCATGTTCGGACGAAGGAAGTGGAAATGATCCATTAGCATTCCTCTCTACATATATTATCGTAACAACTTATATATTAAGACTAATATAAAAATGTGTGTGTATTATTTGTTTTACATCTATCTCTAGCTATATATTATGAAAGAGTGTATTTAAATTTGGTTGAATATTTTTCATATGAATTAACGTCGAAGGAAATGTTTTCTATTTTTGGAATGATTTTTTTGTAATATATGCATGTATTGTGAATCAGTTTAATATACAATTTTATATGGAGTGATTTTTTTTTCTATATTTGGGAATAAAACATTGAGGATAATATAAATATAGAGAGTTTAAAAATATGTGATTTTCCAATGGAAGAGACGTACGGTTTATCCAACAAGAAAATTACTTGATAAGATTGACACTAAATTTATCTATAGGCTGTCAAAAGAAGATAAATTCTAATCTCATGAGGATAAATTAAAACTAATAATATTTTTGATAATTGTATTTATCTCGGAACAATATTCTTTAAATGTTGTAGACATTTCCGGGATTTAAACATATTGTATAAATTAAAACTCTCAATATTTTGGATAATTGTATTCCGTTAGAATTGGGATAATGATTAGAAAAATAAACTAAATTAAACATTTACTATAAATTGATTCCAAATTTAAATGTTTTCTTAGTCAACAAAAATAAACAGATAATTGAATCCCTTAAACTAGGGATACTGAGCTAGTTTTATGTAAGTCTCACTTAAACAAAGGACGCCAGTGAAAATATTTGTTTTAAATTTTTTTATTTTTGAAATATCCAAAATAACTACAACTTACAATTTTTACCGAATTTCAAATAAATTTTACGTGAAGATTTCCACAGTCTGATCGGTGTAAGTTTTGGGTTGAGTGTTATGATAGTATACCTCTTACAATATAATGAAGAGAAAAAAAAAATTGAAGGGATAAATAAATGTAATGTTGGTTGTTTCAAATAGGTTGTTGTGTTATGCGATGTGAAATTCCAATATAAAGCTCGGTTATTATGAAAAATTATAATAAATGTTCATTTAAGTTACTAAACATATATATCTACGATAGAGTCTCTTTAATTTGGTAATTTTTTGACTAAGAATTTACGCCGTTAATTATGTGGACTTTTGTTTTGGCTTTTATTTTTGTCTTTTTTAATCATGGGTCGGGGATAATATATATATAAAAAAAATCTATCCAAAGATAAATAATTACTCAATAAAATGAGAATTATCTGAAATTACAATTACGTAGTTTTTTCTTTTTTGTGTTTACCAAGTAACAATAATAAGGATAATGAGTTATTTTGTTTTTCTCATCTTTTTCGTAAGAAAAAAAATGACGAGACCAATTTGATTATTATTCGAATTTGAAGTGGAAAGGTGGTTATCATATATATGATGATGATGATGAAGTTAGGGCACATGAAGATGTCTCGGAAGCATATGAAATTTTAAATCCGATCAATATCCAAACAAAAAAAAAATCTCAAAAAAACTTGCAAAATTGTTTTTCTAAGCCAATATATATAATATTGTTCTCTTATCTCTTTTTTACTCAAGTACAAGCTAGGAAAGCATACTATGTTCGGAGGAGGAAAGTACAAGAATGGCAACCACGGCATGTTCCGAGGCAAAAGAGGCGAGCATGACATGTTTGGACGAAGAAAGTGGAAATGATCTATTAGCAATCACCTCTACGTATATTATTGTATATAACGACTTAATATAAAATAATACGTGTGTCTGTGTATTATTTGTTTTACATGTGTCTCTAGGCTTTAGCTATATATATCTATGAAAGAAAGAATTTAATTTGGCTGAATGTTTTTTTCTTTGAAGCAAATGTTTTTATTTTTGGAGTGAATTTTTGTATATATATGCATGTATTGTGAATCCGTTTAATACACTTTTATGTGGAGTGTGTTTTTTTTTCTGGAATAAAACATTGAGAATAATATGGATTTAGAAAATTAAAAATTTATGTGAATTTCAATATTAGATTTTTTTTGGAGAAATATACGGTGTATCCAACAACAAAACTATTTGATAAGATTAACGCTAAAAAGTTTCGGAATAGATAAGATGGAAACTAGTCGCTTGAATGAAGACATTCGATCGGCCCGGCGTTCCCGAATGTTGTCCACTACTGAAAATTTATATTTTATAATACTGTCAGCGAAAAAGATAAATAAAGATAAATCCAACCTAATTAATAACATTTTGGATAATGGTATTTATCTTGCAACAAGAGGTTTAAATTCCGAAAAATCTATTTAATTAAAATTAAAGTAGTAAAAGATAATTAATTCAGTTAGAATTGAATAATAAATGATAAGTAAATAATCTTACATCATTTGAAACTGGGATAATGAGTAAAATGAAATTTCAATATATTTAAATATAACAATAAATCACTTCTAAATTTATTTTAGTCAACAAAAATGAATGGATAATTGAATTTCATAAACTGGGGTTACTGATTTGGTTTTAACTCTCAATTAGCTGGGTAATTAGTTGGGATATAGCTGTAAATTATTCTTTGTACGGTTTTTGTTGTAGGTGTGTTGGATGTACATGTAGGATTTTTGTTGTAACTCTATTAGATGTATCCGTATATTTTTGTTGCTCAAGAATTTGTGTTGTAGACATTTTAAAATAAAAAATGATTGATAAATATAAGATTTTAAAATCTAAAAAGTTGATTGATAAATATTTTTTGTACATTTTGTTTTAATGTATACAAAAAAAATTTGTATTAGTAAAAACAATTACAGAAAATTTATTTTAAATAAGAATATGTTAAGTACAGTATTAAACTAATATACAATAGTTAGAAATATAATTTTTTAAAAATATGTATGAAAAGAGAAATTTATATGTATATCTAAACTATATATGCATATTATTTTATTTTTGTTATATACATATTATTTTCTAACTTGGTGCCACAATGTTTTAATATTTTAGGTTAGTATAAAATATTTTTGTTTCTTATTCACTATATTTATGTATATACACTATAATCAATGAAAAGAAAATATTATTGGTAACCAAAATTGTACTTGGAAAATAGATAAAGCTAAAAGAAAATAAAAATACTCATTTCCCACAGCAAAGAAAAAAAGAGCTAGAGGAATTATTTTAAATAAGCCTCAACTTTTTTTAGGCTGTAAATTCTAAAATTAAAGTGCTGGTAAATTTTTAATGCTATATTAAAAGTGAGGGTATAGATAGCTGAGTCTAACCAATCATGGCCTAAACAAAAGATACCATTGAAAATGTTTATTTTTGAATAAACACCATTAATATCCAAAATAACTAAAGTTAAAATTTTAACAAATTTTCAATTAATATTTACGTGAAGATTTCATAGCCTGGTCGGTGTAAGTATTGGGTGGAGTATAGTAAGACTTATTTTAACTATTAATATTTTCAATTAATATTTTTTTCTTATGAATTAACGTTGTAAGACTTATCTTTAATTTTTGGAATGAATTATTATTATTATATATAAAGAATAATATACTTTTATGTGGACTTTTTCTTTTTTCTTTTTTCTTTTTTTTTCTTTTTTGGAACCATCGGGAATTATTTGTAATTTGCAAGAAAAAAAATATATCAAAAGATTATTTCCAAAAAAAAAACGAAACTTATCTGAAACTACAATTAAACAGTTTTTTTTTTTTTTTTTGTTTTGTGGGTCTGCTTACCAAGTATCCGAAACAATTAAAATTTAAAAATTAAAAATTAAAAGCAGATAATTAAACCCACAATAATAGGGATAAGATGTCAATATATATCCGAAACAATTAAAAATTTTAACATCTTATTTCAACAAAATCTCAAAAAATCGTTACGTTAAGATTTTTTCCTATGCCTATATATACGATTGTTTCTATCTCTTCTTTGACTCAAGAAAAAAAATTCTACATAACAATGATGATTTCTCTAAAGTTTCTTTTGTGTTGTCTCTTAGTGAGTAGTTGTGCATATGCCACAATCGTCTCTCACGACGGCCGTGCCATCACTATTGATGGCCATCGCCGTGTTCTTCTCTCGGGTTCTATCCATTACCCGAGAAGCACCACTGAGGTAACTTACATATCAACTTATATCTATTTGAGTGGTTCATTTATTATGTTTAGTAATATTGTTAGTAAACGAATTAAATTTTTGTTGTTGTTACATTTTCACGTTTAGATGTGGCCGGATCTTATAAAGAAGGGAAAAGAAGGAGGTCTTGATGCGATCGAGACTTATGTGTTTTGGAATGCACATGAACCTACTCGTCGTCAGTATGATTTCTCTGGAAATCTAGATCTTATTCGGTTCTTGAAAACCATTCAAGATGAAGGAATGTATGGAGTTCTTCGTATTGGACCATACGTTTGCGCTGAGTGGAACTACGGGTAATGTACTAAACTAGCTCCATTTGTTTATGGTGATATTAGTTTTTTTTTCATTCTTATTTATTTTTGTTAATATCTCTTTTGACTAATTTTGATATTTTAATTATGTATATTCATTTTCAATAGAGGATTTCCAGTGTGGTTGCACAACATGCCCGGAATGGAATTCAGAACTACTAATACTGCATTTATGGTAATCTACATTCGATAATCATTTATCAAATTTCATATGTAATACAATTGTTTTCATTAATAGTAAATGGATGATTATTTCTATGCAGAATGAGATGCAAAATTTTACGACTATGATAGTAGAAATGGTCAAGAAAGAGAAGCTATTTGCATCACAAGGAGGTCCAATTATCCTTGCTCAGGTAATTAAATTTGCAACATTATAATATCCACTATCTATATCTATTGGGTTATACAGTATACAATCTTTTGTTTCTATCTCGTAAAGCCTATTACTGCATATCTCATGCGTCTCTCAATTGTTTCCAACGAGAATGAGAGAATCAGAAGACACAATTTTCATTTAATTATCTTAAATTTGCAGATTGAAAATGAGTATGGAAATGTGATTGGATCATACGGAGAAGCCGGTAAGGCATATATCAAGTGGTGTGCAAACATGGCTAATTCTCTTGATGTTGGTGTTCCATGGATCATGTGTCAACAAGATGATGCTCCTCAACCTATGGTAATTTATTTAGCTAAAGTTGATGATTTTTCATGAGATTAACTTATACATTTATTAACACTAGAGATCTATAAATTGTTTGATTTTGTAGTTAAACACAT